GCAGTTTTCTCCACGCCCCATCGTCTTCTCTCCTAGGCCCAAATATCCTCCTCAACACCCGATTCTCAAACACCCGCAATCTGTGTTCCTCCCTCTGAGTGACAGACCATGTTTGGCACCCATAGCAGTCTGTTAGTCTACCTCCAAGTAGCAAGAGCATCTGAAAAGTCAGGAAACGTCTACCAGACTACGCGAGGCTGCAAAACCTGAAGACAGCTTCACCCTCGCCGCCCTGAGAACCTCAAATCGTACCAAGGGTCGCATATTAGGGAATGATATTAGGTTTTAGGTTTTTGGTAACTCGTGTGGCATATAAAAGTACATCAGTCCGTGAATGTATTGAAGTCTGCAGTCACACTCCTTGCAGTGAAACTCACACGTTCACACTCAACTACAGTCAAGTTTTTTAGACGTGACCACTGAGGTGCGAGTGAGAGGGGTAAGTGAAATAGTAGTGGGAGTCGAAGAGGGTTACTTAAGTTTTTTCAAACAATCGATAGTGACCCGAAATAAGTCAACAAAAAATATATCCAATTATATAAACTTTCTGTGCAGACCGATTAAATATTTTTCGTCAAAAACATTTGAATAATTTCGTTTTTGTGGGTATATTCCAAACGTGTAGAAATAAAATGCTTTTGGTTGATGTTTTCACACAAGAAATTAATCCAAAAAAAGGGGTTAAACAAATTCATTGTGTTCCACTGTTAGTGCTTCTTTCAAATCGCTTATTCGACTATAGATTGTAATGCAGACTTGACACTTTTTATCGATCTCCTCGAGATATATGGTCCAGAAAGTCAACTGTTGCCTGGAAGTCAGTCCTGTTAAATTGAGTTTACACACAGACTCGTTATCAGTCAAGCCAGCCTCTCCAAGTCCACAATACGAAATAAAGAAGGTTATCCACTTGTCTACTTGCTTATAGAATTAAGGTTTGACGCTGAACGAGATGGAAGCCACAAGAAGACCGCACAGAGAAGGTTTCCTAACCGAGAAGCTCCCGACAAAAGCAAACCTTCTTCATAAAATAGTAGTAGGGAATCAAAAATATTATTAATCGCTTTGTATAGAGCCCAGAGATTCATTACCCTGCTCACAAGTGTCAGCACGTACCCCCCACACTCTGTTAATTTCAGATACATTTTAATATTATCCTCCCATCTACAGTTAGTTTTTCCCAGGTTTCATTTTCACTTCATTGCAATAGTGTACGCATCTGTGATGTCCATGCGTGCTGCACGTCTCGCAAATGTTACCTCAGAACGAGATAGCATGCCAAGTTTGACAACCATACAAACCAGCATGCGATATTATAGTTTATTTATATTTAGACCTCAATTTTCTACGTAGCAGAAAGAAAGAGACACAATTCTAAACTAAATAGCAAAAATTTTCTCAGAATTCAAATTCATTCCTAAATAAAATTTCAATTTCCTACTGTAGTTTCTAGATACTTCACATTTGCCAAATTTTCGAACGATTTGTGAGTTATACATTGGAACTATTTGCTCGACTGTTTTTGGGTTTTCGTCGCGGCTATAACTTTTTCCTTATGGGGTTGGCAACCCGCATGATCAGGCCCTAATCTTGCTCTATAATGGGGAAAGAGGTTCTTTGTTGCTGCTCAACAAAGACCTGGGAGCTCATTATTGCTAAAATTACCCACGTGCAT